TAATATCTCTCATTTGGGAATACAGAAATAGGCTAGTGAGTTGCAAAAGGTGGTTTGCTGGGAGCAGGGAGTTGAGGAGCTTAATATTGGTGTCAAAAGAAGTAGGTCTTCTGGTTTACTGCAGCCTTCTCTGCTCTAGTAAAGCAGGATAAAAGACATTAAACAGACGTTTCCTGTGAACGTACCTAAGGGCTGTGCAGCTACTGTAGACCACTAACTGATTCTGCATGTGAATATTCATCTACAAGATGTAACTTTGGTTTTGTCAGACTGTTCTTTAACTGTTGATGCGATACCTGCTTGTTAGTTGTGTAGGTATGTGTTGTGTGTGATACTTAGTCCACAAAGCATTTGATCCTTAGGTATAAATATTATCATATAAATGAGTGACAGAATTCAGATATATTGTGTGGACAGTAAAATTCAAATATTGGAGCTGAATAATAACTACTGTTAATGTAGCTTCTGTTGTGTGGAGAACAGTATATATATGTTGCAGTAATCTTATGACTGTGTGGGAAGTTTTATGTTAGGATTTTTTGGGACGTTTTAATGTCTTATGAGTGAAAGACAGTCTGAAACCTGCAGCTCTTGGAAGCAAATAGGAATCAGCCAAAAATCTCAGTGTGGCAGCTTTGGTAATACTTGGCTAAGCAGCCTTACATCTCAAATGTTCTCATCTTTACAGTGATATTGGGTGCTTTGCTGGAAAGAGAACAATGTCCATTAGTTTTTGTTTATAAAGCAGCAAACTATGAATGTAACCATGTGCTGTTATGTATGGAAATGAAATTCTGTTAGGTTTTCAAATGTATGATAACATCACTAATTAATTTATTGTCATATGGTTGTGTTAAAGACCCAGCCTACAAAGCAGATCTCAGATGTTGAAGTCGTCTGCATGACCATCTCAAATTCTTACGCTTTAAAGTGCTAACTTACACCAAACCACAAAAACCAAACCAACCAAACAAAAAACCTCAAACCCCCCAAAACAGGAAACCACAAATGTATATAATCAGGTTGTCTGCAGACTCAGATGGACGATCGTGGCAAGGATAGCTTTGGAAGGGGGAGCTGGCTATACTGGACAGACTAGCAAAATGTCAGCATCAGCAATTAAGTTGTGAGACCAGTAGGAGATTTATTACCTAGTGGAGCCGTAATTACTTACCTAAAATTACTTAATTAGAAGGTTTAGAGAGCGTGACAAGTTTTTTTTCCAGGTTCAGCAGTATACATGCTGTACCTTGAGTCATGGGCTCAGACACAGCATGCATGTACTGCTGAATTGCTTTCAACTTGAAGAGGGAAGAACGATGTTCTTGTAAACACTGTTAGTAATTGATATTAAAATGTTTTAGACAGAATAGTAAACTCAGGATTTCTATCTCCCCCTAGCTATTTGAGTTTGGGGGTCTTGATGTGCATGAGTCTTGATGTGCAAAGCAAACTCCCTTGTGTTTGATCTGGAGGATCTGCTGCTACATCGTGGAGCCAAGTTCTAGGACCAAAAAGGTGCTGGGTTTAATAAAGCATGACACTTGCAGACAAGGCTATGATTCTTTGGGGGTGTTCCCAGCTTATCTGGAAAGAAACAGTTGTGGTGCATAGGGCTAATAATACTGTGTTAAATCAAATGACTTGCTTATAAATTATCTGGGTTGGTTTTTTTTAAGGAAAAAATTAGGTTAATACTTCTAAAGAGAAGGCTTAATTTTTAATTTTTTTTTTTTTTTAATGAACCATGCTTTTTTTTTTGCCCCCTTTTTTTTTTTAAGTTTATTTCTAGAAGAAAATTTTAGATTTCATTGCTAATTTCCTTCTAGGGTTGGGACTGACTTTTTTGGAGTGAATGGGTGTGATGGTTTAAGCACCAGGTACTAAGAAGGAGAAAAATAACTGTTACAGCTGAACTCGGGATAATGGGGATTTCCTTTTATTTGCTGTTTCGTGTGGCTGTCCCACTTCAGCCACACGTGATTAAGCAGAAGCTGTTCAACTTTGTCTTCTGAAGTGGCTTTGGGGTCCCCTTGAGCTGCCTTTCTGTGTGGTGGGGGCTCTGATTCTGTGGAAATCATGGATAAGTGAGGATTAGGTACAATTTAAAAAATATGGTGGTAGTTTTTTGTTCCAAACCGACTGACTTTCTATGTCATCTAAAGATTGGAATCTCTACTGCCTTAAGCAACATAAGGTGTTAGAGGCACAGCTAGATGCCATGGCATTTAACAGACATGTCATGGGGTTACTGAATCTCAGAGTGGTTTGTGTTGGAAGGGACCTTAAAGCTCATCCAACTCCAACCCCCTGCCACAGTCAGGGACACCTTCCACTAGAGCAGGTTGCTCCAAGCCCCTGTGTCCAACCTGGCCTTGAACACTGCCAGGGATGGGGCAGCCACAGCTTCTCTGGGCACCCTGTGCCAGCACCTCAGCACCCTCCCAGGGAAGAGCTTCTGCCTCAGAGCTCATCTCAATCTCCCCTCTGGCAGGTTCAAGCCATTGCCCTTGTCCTGTCCCTACAGGCCCTTGTCCAAAGCCTCTCTCCAGGTTTCCTGGAGCCCCTTTAGGCACTCGAGCTGCTCTATGGTCTCCTCAGACCTTTAAATCATTCAGAGGTGCCGGAGGGGACTTGAACCAAAATATGGGTCCAGAGCCAATGGCATTGGTGCTTGCTTCTGCAGTAGTTGGATACGTGCAAACCATGGGCTGCAGAGCTGATATGTACAAGCTGCACCTCAGTTCTACTTCTAAGTGATGATCCAATATTCCCTCATATTTTGCAAAATTGTTTTCTCCTCTCTATTGCATCAGTATTCATTGGCTTTATTTCAAAGGTAGTGTACACTGAATGTTGATCTTTTTTCTTTGAATCAGTATTCATTGGCTTTATTTCAAAGGTAGCGTACACTGAGTGTTGATATTTTTTCTTTGGGGCAGCAAAATTTGTGTGTAGGTAAGATGCATTCATTCTGTTGTGTGAGTAAGCGTTCAACCAAAGTTCTGGAAATCCTCTTAAACTAATTACATTTTATAATCCTTTAATGCTTCTCCACAGAATTCCCTGGCACCAACTTCCCTTTTTACTCCTAGGTTGCTTTTATATTTCTCTTCCTGTGGGAGGTCCCCATGGCAAAAATGACTTCTGTAAATGCTGTAGACAGTGTTGTCAGAGTTTTTTGCTAAATGAGACACAGATAAGGTTATAAGGTCATTGTATCTCTCTCCCCTTTGGTCAGATATAAAGGAAGGTGGTAGAAACTAAACTGTCTTACAAAACTTAACGCTCCCTGGATGAAGGATGGCAGAGTTACAGCAGTGGAGTTCTGTATTAGTGTCTACTAGAGAGGCAAATAGTGATGGTGGAGGATGGAGGCCTGGAATGGAGACAAGGAGTGTGGAGTGGTATTTTCCCAGCCTGTAGTGTCCCCTGCAAACAAAATTTAGCAAATAATAAACATTTTCCTCATTTTTCTGGGGTGTCACCTTTTAAAGACCTCTTTGTTACTTAGTAGTATCCTGTATTCTTTTTTCTGAAATACTTGGGTACTGTGCGTTCCCTCTAAATCTTGAATATAAGGTGTTCAGGTAGCCTTTATGATGGCTGCAGACATCACATCTAGTTGAAGATGTCCCTGCTCATTGCAGGGGTTTGGACCAGATGACCTTTGAATGTCTCTTCCAACCCAAACTATTCTATGATTTCAGCTTTTCATGGCATCTCTTACTTCTTTATAGTAAATTCTCCACATTTTTATACTGTTCTATATTAATATAAACTGCTACTAGAATGCTCTTTTCTGGAAGTAACTGCTTCTGCAAATACGGGTCTAAGAGAATCAGTACTGGAGTAATTCTTGGAACAAATCCTATTGAGACCAAGGGAGGTGTTGCTGCTTCTAATATAGCTGTCTCTGTGCTTATGTCTTAGACCAGCTGAGGAGAGAATATTTAGGTTACACAGTAATATGTTGCACAGTGATTTTATCTTGATGGGGGTGCTTTTTTTAAATACAGACTTTTAAAGCTATTGGTCATGGTTGTTTTTCCTTAAAAGGTGGGAGATTATTAAAGCTGATGTCCTGGAAAGGTTTAAGATGCTTAGGAGCATCCCTGGCACACAGTTAATTGCTTCATGGTGTTTTTATTTTCTTTAATTGAATTGTTTATGAAGTGCTGATGAGCAGCATGGGTAATTGAAATCTTCTCATTCTTTACACAAATCCAGTACAACACAGCAAGTAATGAAAAGAGGTTTTGGAGTATATCCCTACTGACATGTGCAGTATTGCTTCAGAAAGCAATTGTTTCTGATGCGTTCATTTTTCAGCTTTCCCCCCTTGAAGTAGTTGGCTGGAACCAACCATGTTATTTTACAAATATCAGGAGGTTCAGTAGTACCTTTCCTCACTTAATTCAGATAAACTGTGCACCATGGTAACCACTGTGCTTACTCTGGCAAGGTGGCAGCTTTCAAGGTGTGGATCATTGATGGCGTGCAGAAATTAAATGCATGGTGGACTGCCTTTCTTGACAACAGGAGTAATTTTCTATCTGTGTATATTCAGTTGGAAAATACATTTTTTGAACAGTTTGTTGACTTAACACCTCTGTTTGAATTGTGAATTCCTTGAGTTTTTCTCCACTGGTAGCAGCATTGGTAGTGATACAACTCTGACACTGTCATTGCTGAGTGTAATTTATGAAAACCCAAGTGAGATGATGACTGAAGTATATAGCATAGTGACTTTTAGTTTCCTTAGCTAGAGATGTTACTGTCTTAAGTTCTTTGAAAGAAAATCTTTTTAATAATATCTTCCTGTACACTCATTTTCTACATTTCAGTAATTGTTCAAGGTTGTGAATTAAAGCTTTACAGATGCTGGGTCTATATATTCCTTATTTGCACACGAGACTTCAAATGTTTCTCTCTTTTTATTTTTTTTTCCCCTCCTTGAAGAAATGAAGATTTAGAAACGTATTTGCCAAACAAAGAAGATGGGAGCAAATAGCAGCAGCATCAGTGAGCTTCCAGAAAATGAGTACTTAAAAAAGTTATCAGGAGCAGAGCCCATCTCCGAGAATGATCCGTTCTGGAATCAGCTGCTGTCTTTTAGCTTTACCACTCCAACAAACAGGTAAGAGGGGGTGATTGTTGAGGAACTAAACTTTGATAATACATTTATAGAAGTGGCAAGTCTGAAAGCAAATGAGTGGGTTATGTTAATTATTCCTGGTTTAGGTAGGGATGTATAAATGCCTAGGTAAAATGGACAGTTGTTTCTAATTTTGGAAGCTCTTCCCACCACCTCTTCCATTCCTGTGGGTTCCTTTCTTCTTCATAATAGCTGTAATTGCTGTTCATGCTCCTGGTAGCTGGGAAAGATCAGAAGTAGGGTCTGTAGTGTTGGGGGCAGCTTTTTTTCTTTTGCTTGGTTATTTTTGGTTGTTTTGGGGTCCCCCCTTTTGTTTTTTTTTGAGGCGTTCTCTGGAGTTAATGAACACTCCAATGTGTGATGTTTTGTCTCAACTTACAGTGAATTGTACAGCTTCCATGACTTAGCTGTATGTTAGCTGTTGAGTTTCTTAGTCTGCATGCCTTTTTCTCCTCATCTCATTTTAAAAAGAAGCTTGGAACTTGTCTCCAAGTCTCTTGTATTTTCTAGATATCTGAAGTTCAAGTTCTGCATGTCTTTTCACTCTAGCAAGTGGTGTAGGTATAAACAGAACTAATATTTTTTGAGAGGATCCATAGCATATCTCCCGAAATGCAGACTATAAGTCCTTGTGACTTGTGTTAACCCAAGTCCATGGCTAAATTCGTTGGCCTGTGTGGCTGATTATCAGTCTCACAAGAACAATCTGGTATTAGTACTTCTAAATAGAACTTAAACTGTTTTTTAGTTTACGGTATCATCTGACACTTTTCTATCAAGTGAATGTCTTATTTACTCCCCTTTATTATTAGTAGTATTTCCTTGCAAAGGACCTAGCGTAGCAGACTACAGCTAAACACACTTGTGTAGTAGGTTTAAATAGGCCACAATATGTGAGTGCTAAAATGGGGAATACTTTCAGTCTTTCAGAAATCTGACATATGTTTGAGAGCTGTTGTGTCAAATTTTATTGTCATGTTTTGTATATTAGCTATGATTCTGTGATTATTTTTGTTGTTAAACAGAGCTTTTGCGAAAATGCGTGGTAGTCAAAGGTTGGTTTGTTTAGGGGGTTTTTATTCAGAAGGTGAAAAATTAGTGCAGATTCATGAGCTCTCAAACCTTGAATGTGAATTAACGATTGCATGGAATACAATTTCAAGTGAGGTATAGCTTACATGCTATATGAATTGCCTCTGTGCTGTATTCTGTGCACAGTGCCTTCTGAAAGGGAAAGAACCACATGTATGTTCCTAACACAGACCAGGTAGATAATCTGTTGTCATCTGCTGTGTGCCTGTGAGTAAGTGGAAGTTAACACAACTAAGAGGGAAAATGGTTAAGGTAAATAACTGGGAGGCATATACTAGGCGTTATTTTTGTAAAGAGTGCGGAGGAGGAGGAAGGATTTTGGCTTGTGCATGGAGAGAACAGCA